TCTGGTCTAATTTGTTGTAAAATAATCCAAAGGCTTGATTATTTCTACTTTCTGTTATGTGTGCGAAGAAAACCAAAACTGCTCAGGCCTTTAAATGAGCTTTATACTAACATTTGATTAACACAGTGCAAATGAAACATAGAAAATAGGTGCAGGAATAGGCCATTCAGCCCGTTGAGCCTGCACCACCATTCAATATGATCTTGGCTGATCATGCAGTCTCAATATCCCATTCCTGTCCTCTCCCCATACTCCTTGATCCCTTTAGCTGCAAGGGCTACGTCCAGCTCCATCTTGAATATATCTAATGAACTGGCCCCAACAGTTTCCGATGGGAGAGAATTCCACAGGTTCATAACTCGCTGAATGAAGAAATTCTTCCTCATCTCAGTCCTGATTGGCTTACCCCTTATTCTTAGATTGTGACCCCTAGTTCTGGACTTCCTCATCATTTGCAACATTCTTCCCACATCTAGCTTGTCCAGTCCCATCAGGATATGTTTCTATGAGATTCCCCTCATTCTTCTAAATTCCAGCGAGTACAAGCCCAGTTGATCCAGTCTGTTGTCATATGTCAATCCTGCCATCCCGAGAAACAGTCTGGTGAACATTCGCTGGACTGTCTCAATAACAAGAATGTCCTTCCTCAGACTAGGAGACCAAAACTGCACACAATACTCAAGGTGTGGCCTCACCAAGGTCCTGTATAACTGCAGCAAGACATCCTTACTCCGATACTCAAATCCTCTCGCTATGAAGGCCAGCATGCCATGAGCTTTCCTCACTGCCTGCTGCACCTGGGTGCCAACCTTCAGTGACTGTTCCACCATGACACCCAGGTCTCGTTGCACCTCACCTTTTCCTAAACTGCCACCATTCAGGTAATAATCTGCCTTCCTGTTTTTGTGACCAAAGTGGATAACCTCACATTTATCCACATTATACAGCATTTGCCAAGTATTTGCCCCCTCAGCCAGTCTGTCCAAATCACCCTGCAGCCTCTTAGCATCCTCCTCACAGCACGCAGTGCCACCCAGCTTAGTGTCATCTGCACATTTGGAGATATTGCATTCAATTCCTTCGTTCAAATCGTTAACGTACATTGTGAACAGTTGGGGTCCCAGCACTGAACCCTGCCGCACCCCACTTGTCACTGCCTGCCCTTCTGAAAAGGATCCATTTATTCCAACACTCTGCTTGCTGTCTGCAAGCCAGTTCTCGATCCACGTCAATACATTACCTTCGATACCGTAAGCTTTATCTTTCCTTACTAATCTCTTGTGTGGAACCTTGTCAAAAGCCTTTTGAAAGTCCAGATACACAACATCTACTGATTTACCCTTGTCTAGTCTACTGGTCACATCCTTAAAAATGAAGATCTTCCTGAACTCTTACTGGTTAAATATTCATGTTCTGACAACACTGGCACATCTATCAAGAACACTGAGCACTGGCTGTGTCAATTATGCAATGGTTTACTTTCCATGTTATGGTAAATGTGCTCTGTATGAAGGCAGGTCACTGGCCCAATGTCTGTTAAAGCTTCATCCTCAGCCATTTTCTTAGCAGTTTTTGTCAGTAGTTATTGGCCAGTACTAGGTCAAGGAGGCAGGTTTCAAGTTTACCTAAGCCAGAACAGGAAGCAAACTCCCAACAGAGGGCATTATTCTCAACCAGACACTGGCCAGCTAGCCAAATGAGCTGACCGGTTTCTAACTAATTTCCTTAAAATTACACAAAATTATTTAACTTAATGGATTTGTTATTAACTCTAGTGAATCAATTCCCTAAATAATACATACCACATTTTTAGTTCGCTAAACATCGTTATGGCATTTCATAACCCTGGGAATTGCTGTTCTTTGCAAAGATTTCATTATAATTGCACAGTAAATCCTAATTGATTAATGATTAATATTGATCCAGAGAATGTACAGAGCATTAAAACATCTCTAATGAGACGATGCATGTGATAACATTTGTTCTAAATCCGCTAGAGATTAAGTTTATGACAGAGAACAGATAATTCTGGGGGAGAAAAGATAAACTATAATAAATTACAAATCAATTATATGCTGTGAAATTAATATACTGAAGTTCAGTTTATCATGATTTATATTAAATTTAATTTGCTATCAACCTATCCTATCTTTCTAAATATCATACCAAACAGTGTCAAGATTCTAATAATTATGACAAAATAATATGAACACAACATTCATCTTTCTGAATAAACAGAGTTCCTGCTTTTAAAAAATCAATGAGATTGAGAAAGATTGATATTCAGAAAACAACCTGATATTATTAGGGGAGGCAGTGACATAGCGGTAATGTCACTGCAGTAGTAATCCAGAACCCCAGGCTAAGGTTCTGGAGACATGGGTTTGAATTCTGCTATGGCAGATAATATAATGTGAAATTCAATTAAAAAAATGAATTACAAGTTAATGTCCTTTACTTTCGCCTGGTCTGTATGCAACTCCAGACCCAGAGAAGTGTGGGTTGACTCTTAATTATGCTCTAAACAATTAGGAACAGGCCAGTGACACCCTTATCCCATGAAAGAACAAGAAAAGATGAAGAGGGCTAGATGTAAGAAATTCATGTCATACAAAGTAGAGTTTCAAGAGGTCATAATATTGAGGAGGGATGAGGGTAGGGGTTGGTTGAAAATGCACATTAACCTCGAGGTGGAACAGTTAAGCGCCCATTCATTTTATGGAACTTGCAATGCAAGTTATAAAGGTCTATTTTTCAGAAAGAACTGAAGGAAGTTATAAAATTTCATAAGCAATCATTAGCTTTTAAAGTGCATTAAAGGATCAGGATTCATTTTCCGTAAAAACGAGGATTACAAAAGGCTCCCTGGAAAACAAGACTGAAAATTAAGTATTTCTGTGATTTTATAATTCTAAATCATATGGGAATCTGAAGCCCTCTTTAATAAAGAAAAAAGAAAGAACCAAAATTTATATTATTCCATCTACATTCTCAGGACATCCACAAGTATTGAAAAAAAACTTGTTTTGCAATGAAGTCAAATGCAACAATCAATTATTACAGAAAGTCACTCAATATATATGACTGGTTAATTTATTTTTTGGTGATTTTGGCTGATAGACAAGCACAAGGCAAGAGCTCTTCTGGTCATCTCCAAATACTTGCCCACAGGCAGGACATCATGTCTCATTTGAAGGACAGGCAACTCCAGCAATGCAAAAATCTATCAGCTCTCTGCTGGATTAAGTATTCACTTCTTGGAATAGGGCTCAATTTCATGATCTTCTGACTATAAGGTAAACACAATACTAAGACTGAGTCAACCTGACACTGATCAGTCTAGACATTTCTTTTTAGCAGTGCAACATCTTGCCCATAGCCTTAGTTATGATAAATATCACAGCTTCAAGTTTGTGTTTCACTAATAATTGCTTCCTAATGATAAATCAACATAAAATGCCATTTTTTCAACTGCAGTTATCACAATATTTAAATAATAAGACTTTTCAGGACTCCTCATTAGATACTTCAGTGAACTGTTTTGAAGTCAGAGTAGGGATTCCTGTTTGTACTGGAGTATAATTTATGTGATTATGTGTTTTAACTGATTGTGGGTATGAACCTTTACGCAACTAATGTAGGGTATCTGTGTAATTTATATTGAACAACCAATGCAAAGCCAATATCAAATCAATAAGCAGAATTATGTTAAATTCAAACCCTCCAAATATCTATCCAATACATTAAAACCATTCAAAAAAGTTAAATGAAATTATTTGAATAATAAAGGACTCAACTCCAGTGAATCATGCTGCACGATTACTTAATAATCAATCAATTTTACTGAAAAAAATACTGGACCTCCATTAATTTTGTGAACGAATAATGTATTTCAGTAAGAAGAAGAGGAAAGTAAAACGAGAAAAATATTTTCATAAGGCCTTGGTAGTTTTAAATGATGTGCAAAGTAAAATATAACACATGAACCAAGCGTACATGCAGATTTTTAAATATTGATAATTTATATACAATGATTATTTGTTGACAAGCCAGTGTAAACAAAATTATGGATGAACTGCTTCCATCAGACAGTCAAATATTAGATTTTATAGCAGAAATAAAACCTCAGTAGGGCTAAAAGTGAAGCATTTAATTTGACAGGTTCAGACTGTGGACATGACTTCAACGGTAAAAGGTAATTCCTCAACATTTATTATTTATTCAAGGTGATAAGGGATGTTTCAGCAGATTTATTTCCACCTTATGCTTTAGTCAGCTCTTAAGCCTTGAATTTCTCTAAAAAAATGTTTAAGCATTCATTACCATCACCAATTTAACACAGTTGTCAACTACTTCAAATATTATTTATTACTTTAAACCAACTTGTACAATTCATTTAGCAAACTGGGGCAACTGTAGGAACAGATACTAATAGTAAAAAAAACTTCATTTTTGAGATTTATGTAATAACATCCAAATAAACAAGATGATGCATTGTAGTCCTGCAGGCGAGGCAAATAGGAAAAGACAAATAGTTTGCATGATAGGTGAGCTCAGTTGGCTGGATGGCTGGTTTGCCATGCAGGGTGATGCCAACAGCATAGGCTCAATGCTCATAGTGACTGAGATTACCATGAAAGCCCTGCTTTCTCAACCTAGCCCCTCACCTGAGATGGGGTGACCCTCAAGTTAAACCACCATTCTCTCTCTCTCTCTCTCTCTCTCTCTCTCTCTAATGAGAGAGTGGTCCTAAGGTCCTCTGAGGCTGCAGTGAAATCCAAATTAGCATCATCACTGAACTTCTTTAATTGGTTTCATAAAACTGGCAGAAAGATGCAAATTATGTGAATAAACATCAAATGGAATAAAAATCTATGAATGAAACAGGCATTGGAGAGGACTAGTGAAAATGAATATGTATTCCAAAGAAACATCCAGCTATTGCAAATCCTGGAAATAAGGCATATATGTGTTCTGTTAGAACAAAAGTACATACTTACACACAAAATGGCAGCAGGTGCATAAGGGTCTCTTTTTTAGGATTTGATGTAAACTCTGGAAGTGTTTGTATAATTTTGTTCATTATGCTCCGTAGATACTCCTGGAGTTGTTTGCGACGTTCCTCCACAAACTTTGCATCCTTAAAAACACGTGTAAACAAAAATAAAATTACTCATTTGGTAATACACAACTAGAGCATTACACCTTTATCATTCAGAGCCCATTTGCAAAACAATCGTCACTCTCCTCTCAAGAGTATAAATTTCATTTTCCCTTTACTTTGGTATTTCTTGTGAATGAGATGAAAATCTTCAACAAAATGTGTTTTTCAGCAATCCATAAACAGTATTCCTTACAGTCCTGACTGTATTTCAACACAGCAACATAACAGGGGCAGAATTAACCTTATACAGCCAATGATCATTTGCAGCATGCTACATCCCAGCAGCACAAACTAGCAGCAATTAATATACTTTCTTCCTTACTGTATTAGCGAGGGTTATTGGGAATACCTACTACATCTCCAATGATAATGCCAAAAGTGAAAATAATCTCTTTTATTTTCCTCAGTTCATTATCTATTTTTCCACATACACTTTGTTTTCAATAAAGGTCCATTGGTAATATTTGAGTGAGGGTGAAATCGATTAAGAGATAGTTTGATCGAAGATTGAAATACTGAAATTGGCCAGGAAAAAAGGCAGGTGCTGCCTCCTTCTAACAAATGTAAAGGATGCAAGATCAGAAATAAAACAACTGCTTAAACTGAACTCTCCTGAAAAAATGGATTTTTACTGCGCAAGGGTTCAATGTTTTTATTAATTGTTAAAAAAACTGGTACAAAAACACTAGGCTCATTTTAATTCGACATCAAAGGAATTTGAGTGGATTAAAATCAGACACATAAATACTTTGGTATTAAATTACACTTCAGAAGATACACAGATATATTCAACACTATTTTACATATCGTGTTCACTTTGTAATATACAGTCTGCACACCTGTTAATTCATAGCTGTTTTTGCAATTAATGAATGTTATTGTTTAAACATTTGAAGTAACCAACTTTGATCTGACAGGAATAGATTGTGTACCAAAGCGACTATGTTTGCATCTTCGATTTACAATAAATATTTTGATAGAAGATTGTTTGCATGTGTGTGTATGTAATGTGCTGTGCATACGACTGCAAGTTATAGTGATCTACAGCATAGAGAAAGGTCCTTCAGCCTATCTCTTTATTCATTCACGGGATGAATGTGTCCTTTGCTTGGCAGCATTTATTGCCCATCCCTCATTGCCCAGAGGGCAATTAAGAGTCAACCACATTGCTGTGGGTCTGGAGTCACATGCAGGCCAGACGAGGTAAGGATAGCAGTTTCCTTCCCTAAAGGACATTAGTGAACCAGATGGGTTTTTCCCGACAATCAACAGTCATTGTTGGATTCTTAATTCCAGATATTTATTGAATTCAAATTCCACCATCTGCCGTGGCAGGATTCGAACCCAGGTCCCCAGAACATTATCTGGGTCAACAATCCAGCGATAATACCACTGGGCCATTGCCTCCCCATGCCAGTTAAAAACAACCACCAAACTGTTCTACTCCCATTTTCCAGCCCTTGGCCCAAGTGTGGGAATATGTATCTGTGTGCTTGCATGCGTGTGGGTTTGTCTGTGCACATATGCACGTTAATGTGCAGGTGTGTCTGCACATGTGCTGACATGCACATATGTGTACATTCTTTTGTCGCAGCCAAAGGTACACCTCAGCTCCTCGATAAAAGCATTGTATTAATACAATTGAAGTAATGGAATTCTCCTGACATTCGAGCCAACATTAATCCCTCTGCTAAAACCACAAAACAAATTAGGTAGTAATTTACTCATTGTAGTTGGAGGAATATACTGTGTAAACACTTGCTAGCATGTTTGCCTGCATCATAGTTGCCATCCACTTTTGTGACAGTTTGGAACATTTTGACAGCATGAAATGTGCTATATAAATGCAGGCATCCTGTTTTTAAGGCTTGGTAAAATAGTCACCATCAAGTTTGGCATCCAATATGTTGGAAGAGTCACAAAGGTTTGTTTGCTTACGTTAATCTTTCTTTTTGTCTGTTTGTTTTTGTTCAGATAAGTAGTTAAGACAAATGGGTTTTGTAACATGATGATAAATGGATTTGGAGTAATGTTTATTTACACTGCAGAAGTCTGTGTTCTTAAGTGTCAGTACAGTTGGCAGCTTTATTTATTCTTTAAAGCTAGATTTCCTCTGTTGCTGTTTGAACTTCAAAGGATTTGTCTTACATCATTAACCCAGCTGACCAATTTTCTACTTAACTCATCAATAAGTCAGTTGAGAACTGTCGTTCCACAAAATGTCATTTAAAATTCTTGTAAGGGATGCTTAGGCCAGGTCCAATTTTATTTTGAACTTTAATGCAATCATGTTTTTAATCTGTGTTATTTCCCATACTTAAAGAGGAACATTTTGTTGTAAACATGTTGTTTGGTTTTTGTTGTTGCTTACTTGCTTTAGAATCATGCAAGGTTGAAACAAGATGGAAGGCATTTGGCTTAGCATGTCCGCACCGTACATTTTCCCCTTGGTTATCTATTTCTTCCTCTATTTACCCATTTTTTTCTGAAAAGGTGCAACAATCTCAGTCCTAATTACTACTTGTGAACAATCTTTCCATCTTAAACAACTTTTTGAGTAACGTCATTTCTCCTCATATTTTTAATGATGGCATTCAATTGATGTGCCACTGTCACTGACAGAAATAGATTTCCCTCATACACACCGTCAAAATCCTTAAGTATTTTAAATTGCTTCTATTAAATCTCTCTTAGCCTTCACTATTTTACCAAAAATAGTTACAGTCTCCTTTTATAGTCGTATTATTTAAGTTGCATATTCTATGTGGCATTTTCTAATGGGGATCACAATACTATACCTGCTGTCTTTTATAAACACATTGGCTTTTATTCATACATTTTGGATAAAATTAAATGCAGCTTCCCAGAATGGGCAAGGTGATGGGTGCGTTCTTCTAAAGAAGGGTCCAGACCCGAAGTGTCAGTCTTCCGAGCGTTCATCCAGCTCCACACCTTGTTATCTCAGACTCCAGCATCGGCAGCTCCTACTATCTCAAGGTGATGGGTGCAATTGGTTACAGATGGAGTGTAACTTAGATAAATGTGAGGTGCTGCATTTTGGAAAGGCAAATCAGGGCAAGACTTATACACTTAATGGTAAGGTCCTGGGGAGTGTTGCTGAACAAAGAGATCTGGATGTGCAGGTTCATAGTTCTTTGACAGTGGAGTCGCAGGTAGACAGGATAGTGAAGAAGACGTTTGGTATGCTTGCCTTTATTGGTCAGTGCATCGAGTATAGGAGTTGGGAGGTAATGTTGCGGCTGTGCAGGACATTGGTTAGGCCACTTTGGAATACTGCATGTAATTCTGGTCTCTGTGCTATAGGAAAGATGTTGTGAAACTTGAAAGGATTCAGAAAAGATTTACAAGGATGTTGCCAGCGTTGGAGCGTTTGAGCTGTAGGGAGGGGCTGAATAGGCTGGGGCTATTTTCCCTGGAGCATCAAAGGCTGAGGGGTGACCTTGCAGAAGTTTATAAAATCATGAAGGGCATAGATACAGTGAATAGCCAAGGTATTTTCCGCAGGGTAGTGGACTCCAAAACTAGAGGGGCATAGGTTTAAGGTGAGACGGGAAAGAATTAAAAGGGACCTAAGTGGCAACTTTTTCACTCAGACGGTGGTGTGTTGATGGAATAAGCTGCCAGAGGAGGTGGTCATGGCTGGTACAATTACAACATTTAAAAGGCATCTGGTTGGGTACATGAATAGAAAGGGTTGAGAGGGATATGGGCCAAATGCTGGCAAATGGGACTAAATTAGTTTAGGACATCTGGTCAGCATGGACGAGTTGGACTGAAGGGTTTATTTCCATGCTGTACATCTCTATGCCTCTAATAGAAGAGGCCATACAATCCATTCCCACTGGCAGCAAAATGGAGCCACATTCAGCAGTGGGAATGGGCTGACAGGGAAAACCTACCTGCTGGCTACATTGAAACAAAGAAAATAGAAACAGAAGTAGGCCATTCGGCCCTTCAAACCTGTTCCACCATTGCGTGATCATGACTGAGCACCCAACTCAGTACTCTCCTCCTGCTTTCTCCCCATACCCTTTCGTATCTTTGGCTTGAAGAACTATATCTCATTCCTTGTTGAAAACATTTAAGGTTTATGCCTCAACCACTTTATTTGGCAAAGAATTTCACAGGCTCACCACTCTTTGGTGAAGAAACTTCTCCTCATCTCAGTCCTACATGACCTAACCCTGCAACCTTAGACTGTGACCCCTGGTTCTAGACTCGTTGGTCATCAGGGAACATCTTTCCTGCATTTTCCCCATACAGTCCTGTTACAATTTTATAAGTTTCTATGGGATTCTTCCATAGTCTTCTAAATTCCAGTGAAGAAAGTCCTAACTGATCCAGCCTCTCTTCATGCATCAGTCCTGCCACCCCAGCAATCAGTCTGGTAAATCTTCATTGGACTCCCTCCATAGCCAGAACATCCTCAGAAATGGAGACCGAAAAACCGCACACAAAGGTTAATTAGCTTCATTGTTTAGCCATCTAAAGGCAAATATTATTGAGCCCACAGGGACTTAACCGTGGTTGAGAGAATTTCCCAAATTGGTGTGCACCTCCCATGCGTTCTGAACGCAGGGGATGGGAGTTGCTCTTTCAAAGGCACTTAGCATCCGATCGAGGACCTGGCACTAGACAGGGAGATGTCCACCAACAGCTACTTGTGTCCTTGACTTGGAAACCCTGCCTCATTGCCCTGATAACCTTTAGCCATCTAGACTTGTCTCCAGGGATCCAGCGATGATTCCTGGTGAAGTTCTCATAAGAGTATTACCAGCATCAGTCATGACTCCAAGTGGCACTGACTGCCCTTTAGCTCTCAAGGTTCAGACTTTCACTGCATATTGGGAGGCATATGCCTGAATGTCCGTTGGAGAGATGACACAGCTTTGTCACTGGAGGGCTAAACCACTTCGACTACAGTGCTCCCATTTAGAAAACCCTAAATAGTATTA